TTTCTTTCTTTATTTATTTATTTATTTATTTATTTATTTATTTATTTATTTATTTATTTATTTATTTAATATGCCACCCACACTACCCAAAGGTCATTTAAAAGTCTTCCACTTTTTCTTGAATCCTTGTCTTTGCAGTGAAGTCTTGCCTTACCTAGGAAGTGTGATAGCCTTACTTTGGTCATTTTAGCTTCTAGTGAGAGTTAAGGCTTTATTTTGACTTGGCGTGTGATATTTGTAAAGCTCTTTGCCAACACCACATTTCAGAGGAGTCAATTTTTTTCCTGTCAGTTTTCTTCATTTTCACATCCATCAATCCATAATTAGTGGAAATACAGTACGGATGATCTTAGCCCTGGTCCCCAGCAACACATCCTTAGCTTTAAGGACATTTTATAGTTCACAGCTCCCCTTCCAAGTTACAGTCTTCTGATTTCTTGGCTGCAGTCCCCATTTGGATTGACAGGTGAACCAACAGAAAATCTTTAATATCAATTTCTTCATTGTCAACGTAAAAGTAAGACAAATCTGTAGACATTTTTCTTTCCTAATATTCAGCTGTCATCTGCCTTTTGCACTTCTTCATCAGCAGTGATTTCAAGTTGTTGTTTTGTGCCAGGATTACAGTTCAATCTGTGTATATAAAATGATTATTTCCACCCATTTTCATTCTTCCTTCACCTGAATCTAATCCAGCTGTTATGTGTACACAAAAGTACTTTTGCATATACATAACAGCTGTATAAGAGCAGCATAACACCTGAGCGATTTCCTTCCTAATCCTTAAATCAGGATGGGGAATCTGTTGCCCTCTGTATGTCCTTGCACTTCAGTTCCCATTCATCCTGGCTAGAATATCCAGAGGTTCCCTATCTCTATCTTAGCACTCCCTCCTTGTATACCCTTGTGTTTTTATAGCAGGGGGGGAAACATCTTGGAGGTTTCTTGCTTTTTCCTCCAAATGTTAGGTGGGGGAGATAAACCCAAGTCTTCAAATATTATTTCTCACATTGTATTTTTCCCCACACCAAATACTGTGCTACGGATGACACCAAAATGCAGAGATGGCAGAACGTGTGGCCTTCCAGGTGTTGTTGGACTACTACACCTATCACTTCTAGCCAGCATAGCTAAAGTCTACACGGATCATGGGCGTCATTGTCCAACATCTGTAGGGCCATGTTTCGCATCCTTGCTATAATGGGCATCCAATGTGTCAGTGGTTGCTTCCATTCCAGGACCATGCAGTAGAAAACAGGTGAAACAGATATACTCACCTGCTTACAACTGTGCAGGCAGCACGAAGAACAAAGAACATTGCTTAGTCCAAAGGCTGAATTCAATATCCAGGGGCAGGGAGGGGCTGAATTCCAGTAACAAGTGGGGCTAACAGCAAAAGTTCAAGGCCAAAAATACCAGCTTAAACCTCTTATTGCCAGTAACCAAAATCTTAGGGGAAGTACTTCAATCTTTCAGAATATGGCGGCGGGCAGGGAGATATAAAACCTGAGAAACCATTGAACAAGGGTATCAATGGGGAAGAGGGCACATCTATCTGGGGAAATCTAGAGGGCTGAATTTGGCCCTCATGGTTCCAGTTCCCTGTTCTTGTGTAAACAGTATGTACAATTTCTGAGCTTAAAGTATTAATGTTCATTTGCATGAAAACAGAGTTTTAAGGTAGCCTCTCAAAATGCACTTGGAGAAGACCAGAACAATAAACTGCATATATTTAACTGACATGGAAGCTATACAGCTATAAAAGCTGGCGTTCTACTACTGACCTAACAGGATGCACACCTCTGGCAAGTGGCTGAGGTTTGTTTGCACTGGCAAATATATATGAAATCCATCAACAAATTTTAACACTCGGAACCTGTAGCCAAAATACATCTTTATTAAATTATCTTTGACTCAATAAAATACAAACTTTGAGTATAGCTGCTTTGTTGTCATCTGTTTTTCTTTTTAAGAAATATATTAAATCAACAACAGAAACCAAGTAGGCAGTGTGGTTTTCTCATTTTCCTGTTTAGTAAAAGTTAAGATTGCAAGTAACCTCAGCTGTTTAAAGACATCAGATACAGACCAATCAAGCAAAATTAATAGGTTTTTACTCAGGAACATTCAACATGCAAAGAAAGATATTTTAAATGCATTCTTCCACATTATGATTCTCACCCAACCCCATGTTTTGTGTGTTCATCTAGCAAATGGCCCCTTTATGCAGGATGAAAGAAGCAGTACCATCTTTTACCATCTACATCTGTCTTAACTAATATGATGCCCTCCAGATGTGGATAAGTACACTGCCTTGGCACAAGACATTTCACTGCCTGAGTCAAAGCAGCTTATAATGCCTGCACACTATTCCATGTAAAAAAAAGCAAAGGAAAGAAAAGCTGACAGGACTGTCAGTTTTGCATTTCTTCAACACTGGCAATGAGGCACCTTCTTCCATTAAACCTGCAGGCAGCAAGCTAGCTTTGGTGGTGCGGAGCAGACTGAACAGCACAGTTATTCCTGCCAACAACTTGCTGCCTGCCGTGATCAGCTGCCTGGGATAGCTGTCTCTCATTGGTTAATTCTCTCCCTATCATTTGACGCCTAGGGAGATCATGGCATGGTTTCCAGTCTTCTAGTTGGCTGGGGTTTGTTTTCTTCAAATTGTTACCTTGTGATAAATTTTTCTGATCCTTTTAATGTGTTTTTATTAATTGTGCCCTACCGTGAGCTCTGCCAGTACAGGTCAGGTTAGAAATACTGTAATAAAGGCAAATAAATATTATTGTACGTCTATCTCTGAAGACCAGAGCAAGGACTGCTGCTTCCAATCAGCACACAATTAGGAACACGATTAGGAGCAAGGTCCAGAAATTATGTCTGGGAGAACGGAGGCTGTGTGTGGAGTTGTCTTTCTCCAACAGTAAGCCTTTTACTGTATGGTAAACTGATTTTGAAATACAGTAAAAGCTGTACACTTAAAAAGCAATGTTTCAGGAAAAGATAAACTAAAATTTCTCAAGGACATGTCCGAGTTCTCGAAGATGACAAAACTAATTCTTTGTATTCTGACAGTTGACTATCATACAGTGAGGCATACCTAACCGCCAAAAGGAAGTAAACACACCATTAAGGTCCTCTCTAAAGCTTGGAAATGTTATTTTTGGGAGCTATAACACTCCAAACTCCATGACCACTGTCAATCCTAACAAGTACTAAGAGTCAGGGCACAAACCTTGAGATTACACCTAACTTTGTAACTTCTTCCTCCAGCCTTTATTAAGGAATGGAAGATGGAGTGTATGTTATTGACCATATGATACTGATTCTAATAGACAAATGTCAGATATCGGTGCCCAAATGGAAATTTCCAAGGGACTTCAGTTCAAAATACATCCACAGAGCTCCTGCTCCACATAGGCCCATCCCAGCTCTAGAATGAAGTGAAATCCCAGCTTGAACAAGAAGGGATTCAAATGCCCATCTGAATCTGTACTTGTACACTGGGAGAAGGCCAATGAATTAGTGTGACAGTTACAAAAATATGTGGGCAGAAAAATGATGACAGATGGGGAAAAATACTATGCCAGCAGTCAGTCAATCTGTATAAATCCTTGTTGGTAAAAATATATACGATCTATGAGGAACTGAACAAACACTAAGAAATGGGTTATTAAAAGAGCCCAGCCAAAATGTACTTTTGTGTCACTAATACTATAGAAAATGTAGAATAATGAGATTTATAAATGAGTATCTTTGAAAATTGCATTATATAATAGCCACTAGGTAACATTCATTTCTTTAGCATTAGCGTTACTGATATACAGGCAATAACTGAGGGTTTTGAAGGCAATAAATCTACCTTGCATTCTCAAAACCTAAATAAATAAATAAACAAATAAATAGGACTAAGGATGCTTTTGTTGTCTTTGTGAGAAATTCATCAGTTATATTTATGTACAGGAATTATATACACATTATATAGCACAACTTGAATTGATAATTGCTTTAATATCTGGTCAACTGCAGTGCTTTGAGCTAAAATAGTGCTACCAGTTTCTAATAAAAGCTGGTACTTTGTCAAGAATGTTGCTGTTTTTCTTACCCTGCATCTCAGTTGTTGTTGTTTCCTTCCCAGAATTGAATAGCCTCCCCAACTGAGCTCTGAAGACAGAAAGAGGCCTTCAGGACAGCTGCACCAAGGCTGGGGAATGCGTGTCCTAAAGAAATACAGACATGAACCTCATTGCCAATAAATGTGAGGCCTACTTCTTGGGACAGATATCTCAGAGCTAGAGAAGGCCTGGCAGTATTCAAGTCAGGGAATGTGTATTTTCAGCTGTAATTTTTATTTTTCATATTTTATTGTGATGCTTGAAAATAATCATCTCAAGGTCCTGCGGAGTAGGTCAAGAATAAATAAATAAACAAATAAAACCATATCCCTTGAAAACATTCGCTTTTCACATTCCTTAATTTTGCTTTCGGGCAGAGGGAGGTTCCTTTGGCCTACTAAATCAATGGGACAAAAATAGTCCTGGATGAAATATTGAGTTTCAATTCCAGAGTAATACCTCCTTGTCCTTAGGAATGTTTTGATGTTGATGTGCATGTAGGCAACCAATTGATTCCTGCGTGCATTTTCAGAAGAATTTTTAGCTCTTCTCAAGTGACCAAAGACCAGACCCTTTAAAGAGCAAAGAAAGGATTTGACCAGTCCACGACACAACGAGGCAAGATATAAGGGTATGAGTGATATGCCTGAGAGTGCTTCCCCAGGTAAGAAAAGCAATCCTGACACAACCCATACAGCCTCTATCAAAGAGAATCTAGGGAAGTATGTACATACTTGAGGTAAGAGCCTAGGGGCCTCCTTAGGAGTCTTTCCCCCCCATGGCCCCCCAAAATCTAGTCAGCATTTGTGTGAAGCACCAAGTTCTGAGGCAAACTGGTCAAGAGTCGCACTCTTCACCTTGAATGACCCACAGCAATGGGGAAGATCCCTGCAACAACATGAGACAGGTTTTGAGGTCGATACCCAAGGGTTTTTAATGCAATATTTCAGTGCCACCCGGAGTCTTTTAACTGACCTCTTGTCAAAAGTGGTTATAAACTAATATTTGGGTGGGGAGGTGTACTATATACTGGCCCCATCCAATTGTCTACATAGACTTAAGTACATTGCTTAAAATGCTGCATTTTGCTGACCAAAGTTGATATCTTAAATGTGAAGCCAGTCAGGCCAATACTAATGAGCCAATTTCTATGAAACTAGGTCATTCTCCCCAGTATATTATACCATCTCCAACTCAAGTGCTTATGATTTGCATGTTCATAATAAATGCAGAAATTCAGATAATTACTGCAGCTGTTCTTAATAATCCTTGCTCTTATCTCATCACCACTCATGGAAGTTGCATAGCTGTACATTTTTATAAACATTCGAGTTGCCTGGATGGAAAATGGGTATAATCCAGATTCATACATTGAGGATGCGAGATGGTGCCTGGAAGACAGCAGAAGGGTTGGGAGAAAACTTAGCCTTCACTTCTGGAATCTGGAGAGGAGAAGAAGGGCCACAGGATTAGAGGCACTCTTGCATGTGAATTGCATTGCAGACTCGTTACCTTCTACGTTAATATCACCAAGGTATCCTCTACGCAGGAAATATTCAAGCATCTCATACTACTCAGAGGTCACCCAAAGTTTCTTTTTGGATTTGCAGCCAGTTTATACTGAACTATAGACTGAGGCCAGTCCTATTAATAGTACAACGTACATACATTGTAAGAGCATGGAATATGACCTACTTGTATGCTGTTTGGACTGAGAAGATGTTATTTGCTTTCTTCTTTTAACTTACATCAGGTTGGAGAAAAGTATTTTTCCCCTCAAGGCCATTCTCAGTGTTTCAGGGGAAGAAAAAAAAACTGAGAGTGATCTAACTCAAGTTTTATGTTTCTCTCTTTAATATATTTTGTGCAGTTTTTCTAAGAAAGCCTCTTTGAGATAGTTTATGAAGCAAACATGTAAGACACTGGCTGGAATCTTGTGTATCACAGGCATAACTTTGCCAAACATTTTACCCAGGCGAAAAGGATTGCGTGAGTAGATTGCATGACTGGTTGTGTAGTTTCCAGAATCCTTTGTGAATACACTTTCACCTTTGCGCTATTCCAACTACTGCTTGTATAACAGTTACGCATATGTAGTTACTCAATAGGATGTCAGCTAATAGAAAATAAAATCAAAGAATATGTGATTTCCCCATGTTGATTAGAAAGATGTCCCCACCCAGTTGCTGCCATTAAGATCTAATCCATATAGTGATTGATGTGACTCTTTTCTCATGCATGATACCAACTGAATGCAACACTAGGATGGTAGCATCTGTCACCCACACCCACTCCTAACTACTCGTGCTAGTATCGTAACTGGGCAGAGCTTTGAATGTTCCTTTTCTGAATCTATGGCCTATGCTGTCTTGGGAATTCTGGGAGTTGTAGTCCCAAAAAAGGAAATGTTGCCATCTCTGGCATAAAATTGTAATCTTCAGCCTGTATTCTATGTTAACCCAGGCTGACTTCATTGCCAGAGATTTGCAGGTGCAAATTCTGTATTAAAATCAAACAGGAAAATTTGCTTTAAATGTCCAAACAAAGTAAGATGTGGCTGTTATACATTTATTTAATTAGGAAGTATCCTGAATATAAAGTCTTCAGAAGGATTTTTAGATGGAATGAGCTGCTTAATTAATCTGTCACCTTCTACAATTGGCTTTTTCTGCACTAAGATACCAATCAATGCTTTCAAAGGTAGTTGAAGGGCATTACTAAGTGATTAGTCCTGAAGGCTGTGAGTGTACCTCTGATTCTGCAGATGGGGAGGGTTTTTTTTCCAGATATTAGAATGAGACAGCTTTCCTCTATTAGAGAAAAATAGTTCTATGCCTATGATAGGGAAAAAGTACATTTAAATGGCAAGGAAACAGGGATTATGAGATGTGTTGCCTTGTTTGCCCTCATAGGAAGCAAAAATTAGAGCTGAATGGATTATGCCTTTAAAACACAATCCAGTGAATTTACTGCATTCTTATGAGGTTTTTAAGCTGTGATTTGCCTACACATATTTTATGATGTTGGGTGGATTGTTTAGGATACTTACTAGCTTCTCTTTTAAATATGCTTTCTTTGGCTCCTATACTAATAAACATAAGGGACTGTGAAAGACAGCGAATGTTGCAATACGCCTGTAATACTAGAATGTTTCTCTTGAGCAGGGGCCCCCAACCTGAGGTCTGTGGGCCACATGCCGTCTCCCCCCCAGCTCTCTTGTTTACTGCTATCACCCTCAAGACATTTTCACTCAGACCCGCATAGTTCTTCCTGCCCCAAATGGGACCATTGACTGCTGTTTTTCCCATCCCTTTCTGACAAAAAACACAATAGCATCATTGCGTCTTCTTCTGGTCTCCAGGGTTCCTTCTGTCAGCCCCTCTTAGTCTTATCCCCCACACAAGCATTTTCACCATTCTGGGTGCTTTGCTAGCCAGCAGAGCTCACCCGTACCTGCACCACTCAGCTTTTTCACTCCCCATCTCCATGCATTATCATGTTAAAGGCTCTCTCTCTCTCTCTCTCTCTCTCTCTCTCTCTCTGTGTGTGTGTGTGTGTGTGTGTGTGTGTGTGTGTAAGGAAGATAAAGCAGCTGTGTGGTACAAGAGATGCGGTACAAGAGATGTCTGGCTTGCTTTTGCAATAATGGTGGGGAAAGGAGAGTAAAAGGCCTGGCATTTTTGCAAAAAGAAAAAGACACCAAGTGTTTTGCATACTAAGCCATTCTAGAGGCTGGTTGCTCTAACTTTGTGCCTTGCTTGCTTTGCCTCTCTTCACTACCACCCCTCCAGCTGGGAGTCTTCTCACGCACCTGTGATTGTAGGAGCTGCTGAGTGGCCAGTCCCTTGGGTTGAGAGGGAAGAGGTTCACCCTCAGCAGGGAAGTTTCTGGGATTCCCCTTGCCCACATCTTCCTCCAGCCAAGTTCCCTTTCCCCTAGCTGACATTTTACTTCTCATGATTGGGGCTTGGCTGGAAGGCAGTAATGAGCATGTGCATCCTGCTTATAATTTGAAGTCAACTTAATGGCATATCCTCTGCTCCAGGTGAGATGCTGCCCTTTAATTAGTTCTCTCTCTCCTTCCCCAACGCCTCCCTTTTTTTAAAAAAAGGCCCCCATTTTTACAGTGTTGGCATGTATAAATTTAAACCTCAAGGCAGGGTGCTTATTAAGATAAATCTCATAGTATCCAACGTACTTAGGATTGCAACTCTGCCATCTGATAGGTCAGATTCATAATCCAGTTTTGAAAAAATTCTCCCTAGCCTGTGCATATGGCTCAATATTCCTGAGCACTGTAGAGGAAGAAGCCTCTTCTCCTCCTTGCTATGGTCAAAATGAAAATCGCCAGCTGACTGGAACTAGACTGGGGTGGATTGGATGAGAAAGGAAACAGTTAGACTCCTAAAACTCTACTTCTCATACTTGTATTTATATCCGAGGATAATACAGTATTGAATCTCTCCAACTGCTGCTCTGCTAAAAAACCTGTAAAAAGATACCTGCAAAAGGACATGTTGTTTCAGAGAAATGCAAAATTGCAGATGAGCACCATGTCCTTAATGACAAATAGACTTCTGAGTACTCATCTGTTTTAAACAAAGAATATGTGGTTTGCCTGATATTTCTTGAAACCGTCTTGATATTAAAGGAGTGCAATGTTAAAAAGTATTTGAATCTTGTCACAAGAGCTTCTTAATATATCCAAGAGAGATGAGAGTGAACAAGATAAATTCTCAATAAAAATCCATGATTTTGCAGCAAAATAGTTTTAGAAAGCACATTGTGGAGAACCTTTCAACTGTGAGAGTTAGCTAGCATGTTGCTAAATGTATTGCTGAGAGTGGCAAGCCATTCACTGATAGTTAGTTTATTAAAAAGTGTGGTTAAAGTAATGGAGGAAAGGTGCCCTGCTAAGGTATCTTGTGTTAGCTGTGTCAGTCTATCTGCATCTACAATCATGTAGGCATGTTGAAGAACTAGAAGAGCTGCATATATCACTGAATGTAAAAGCAAACAATTTTTATTTTCCCCTTTCCCCCTGCTTTGGCATTAGATGACAACAATGACATTACAGACACTGCTCAACTACTAATAATTATCAGGAAGATACATCTGTGAAGATTCTCAGTCATCCAGGTGAGGTTATCGGGAAGTTGAGACATGGCAACTGGACTTCTCTCTTATCAGGTTGAAACATTTTGCTTCTTCAGTTGAAGAAGCTACTTGGATGAGTTTGGAAAATGTTTCAACCTAATAAGAAAGAAGTCCAGTTGCCATGACTCAGCTTCCAGATACTGTATCAGGAGGATACATTCCAACTTCAGACTTATAGAAGAATTGTGTGCAGTGCAGAGTTTGAAAAGCACAACAACTGCAGAAAACATATCCTTGAAGGTGTATGGATCAGTAGAAAATCTTAGCCAGAGTTGAGATAAATGGAAAAGCATCACAACTGACGGAGCAAGAAATAGGGCAGGAAGTAAAACTGGTGTAGTTGCAAGAATCAATTAAGAGATGATGAAATTAAATGGTACACTTCTCATGCAATTTCACTGCATTATCCATGAGCAAAGCTCGTGTAGTAAGATCTTCAGTGGGAAAATGTGATGTGTGTTGTTATATCCAGCATTAATTACACCAGGCATCATGGCCTTACTCGTTAGTCTCCAAATTTCTCTCAGAGATAGGTACCAGAATATGGAACTGTATTGTACCAGGCAGTCCAAATTTCTCTCAGAGATAGGTACAGAATATGGAACTGTATTGTACCAGGCAGAATCAGATGGCTTAGCAGAGGCAAAGTTCTCAAACATTTTTCAGACTTTGCCATGAAGCTGATGTCTTTCTTGAGGTGAAAGGAAAACATTAAGAAGTACTTTATTATGCAGGGAGAGAGATAAAGTAGATAGAGGGAAGCTCTTTTCCCTGTCACTCAATACTAGAGCCAGCAGACATCCACTCAAATTGAGTGTTGGGAGAGTGAGAACAGACAAAAGAAAATATTTCTTTACCCAAAGTGTTATTAGTCTGTGGAACTCGTTGCCACAGGACATGGTGATGGCATCTGGCTTAGATGCCTTTAAAGGGGGATTGGACAGATTTCTGGAGAAAAAGTCCATCGCAGTTTACAAGCCATGATGGGGATGTATAATCTTCAGACTTAAAAGGAAGGGGCCTCCAAAGGCCAAATGCAGGGGAGGGGTATCAGGAGACAGGTATCTAGTTGTCTCGTGTGCTCCCAGAGGCATCTGGTGGGGCCACTGTGAGCTACAGGAAGCTGGACTAGATGGGCCCTTGGCCTGATCCAGCAGGGCTCTTCTTATGTTCTATTGTTCTTACGACCTTGAATGTATTTTTGATGTGGCTTTCTTAACTGATATCACAGAGCATCTGAACACATTGAATCTAAGGTTGCAGGAAAAAGGAAAGCTTGTGTGTGACATACATACTGAATTGAAAGTTTCTGAAGCAAAACTAAACAGTATTTGTGAAGCAAGTTAGTGAAAGTAATTTTTCAAACTTCTCATGGTGCAATGAACTAAAATTTAAGGATGGAAATTTGCAATTCAGTGTTGAAAGACACATCAAAGCACTGAACCTATTGCAGATGGAATTCCAGAACAGATTCACTGATTGCCATGAGCATGGTAAGGATTCCACAGTAGGATTCCACAGTAAAATATTGTTCCAAAATGGATTGCATTCAATTTAAAATTTCTTCACTGACCTCTGAATGTTCCCTTTTGATCTAAATTGGTAGGCTAATAATTTTGTTACATTTTGATTAAAGACGTGGCCCTCTTTGGGCACCAGGCACTCTAATATGGCACCCATGTCCCAGAAGGTCGAGGACCCCTGCTCTTGAGGATATGCTTCTAAACCAAGCCAATTCAAGGAGACAAAAGTAAGCACCATCACGTAAAATGCACATCAAAAGAATATGTACAAGCAGCCACATGGAATTTCTTTTGCTGCATTCTGGATGACTGTCTTTGTATACATATACTCTTTTGAAGCACGATATATCTCTTCATTCTTATCACACTGGTCAACATCTCCACATCTCTGACCTTGCAATGTACATTTACCTTAAAATCTGCCTTGTAGCTAGATTCTTGTGCAAAGTGATCCTCTGGAATGATGAACCCTTGTGTTGTCTTGGTAGGCCTTGATCTTTTTGCTCCAGTCCATGGGCGATACTCATGCCTAGAATGAGTTTGTGGGACAAAAGCAAGATGTGTTACATTGTACAATAAGTGGACACTGTTGTTTTGAAGGAGGCAAGGTAAACCCGGATCATGTGTTTATGATGTTGGAATTATAAACTACAAATATATATTATATTCATTTTAACAGTTCTCTTCTTCCCTCACTAACCACCCAGACCATCCAAGACTAAGAAAAAAGCTAACTGTATATAGATAGCTTGCATTATTGTACAAGCAGACTTTCTATAGAATATTATGGGTGCAACTCTAAAGGACAGGAATTCTACAAGGGTCTCAAACTAGAATCAAAAGATATGGCTACATCTACAGACATATTCTTCTCTCTGGAAAACCCACCATCCTTCTCCTACCCTTGATAACTGGAGACCTTTACTATCTAAACAAAGGCTTTTGGGGAAACTTTCAACAGATAACAAAATCAATACATCAGATGCAACCTATGAATTTCTTGGGCAGCCTAAAAAGCCCTACTGGACATAGACAGCGGTCCTACCCTGGCACAACCTGAGTCAAAATTTAAGGAAATCAAAATAAGACTGCTGGGTTTTGGATTTGGAGGATAGGGAAATCTCCCTGGAAAAGATCCTGTTGTTGAGAAAGAGTGAAGGCAAGAGGAGAAGGGGATGACAGAGGATGAGATGGTTGGACAGTGTCATCAAAGCTACCAACATGAATTTGAGGAAACTCTGGGAAGCAGTAGAAGACAGGAGGGCCTGGCGTGCTCTGGTCCATGGGGTCATGAAGAGTCCAACAGGACTTAATGACTAAACAACAAAAAGCAATCCAAGATGTTGCCCTGGCAGGAAGAGGGTAACGAATGTGCCAGGCTTAAAGGAATTCTGTCTGCACTTAAAATGGGAGGGGTTGGGTCATGCCAGGACTTGTGAAAGCCTCTGTAGATAATCTGAGCTGAGAAAGGACAATCCTGATGTTTTATAGAAAAGGTTCCTGCTGGTGATGACCAAAAGCACCTTAATGGGGAGGGAAACAAACAGAAGTAACCCAAAGCATCCTCAGGCTTTTTACATTTTGCTGTCAAGGTGGAGAACCTGAAAAAAGTGCCCAAATGAAGATATAACATTTTCTGCAATTCAGCTTTTGTATACAACAGTTACAGCAAATATATTAATGAATGTAAGCTCTTCCCATAAGATTTGGCAGAAGGGGATAAGCATTACATTGCCTTTGGGAATTAAGGATACAATCCTAACGTGTACAGTCCTGCTTACATGGACTTCTGAACTAAGTGGGGCTTGTATGTAGACATGCAGAGAACTGTGTCCTAAAACTTCTGCATTATGTAATTCCTTTTCCCCTTTCAACAAAAATCAAGAGCTGTGGCATTCATTTGTGGGCAGTATGAAGATTAGAGGTTTGAGGAAAGGGTGGATCTGGGAAAGTTTCTCTGTTACACTGGGAAAGGATGTGTTTGTGTCAAGTGTTCTGATTGAAGCCTGTGTAGATCTCAGATTATCAGGTCTGGAAAATCATTATCCTTGTCCTGGTCCCAGATTGGGTTTGATTGACTCAAACTGTTACACACACAACATTTTGCCTTCATAGAAAATCCTTCTGTTCAATAAAGCAGCCAGAGTGGAGGAGGGAATTTTCATAGAGATTGCCATGTATGATGATACAGACCAGGTCCACACATGAGTACTGCTGTGTCTACATGCACCAGCTGCTTCACTGGATCCCACTTTTCACAGGGCATGTACTAAAGTGGAATAGTGGGACTAGGTGAGTGAGCAGGTCCAAACCCCCAGAGCGATAAAGCAGACTGGGTTCCCTTGAGCCAGTTCCTCATCTCTCAGCCTTCAGAGGACGGTTGTGAGAAAACAATGGGTGGAGGAAAGGAAAGGTTGGTCTCCAGCCACTGAGAACCAGTGGGGTGTAAGTAAGGTAAGTAGGACCAAATCCAGGATTCCACACACTTGGAGATGGGGGAATGTATTCCAAACATAGTATATGCAGGGACCCCCCTCCCCGAGATGACGATGGGGCAAGAGCACTCTGCCCATGCTGAGAGGAAACCATATCCCCCCCCATCCCACCTCCCTTTTACTCAGGGCTGAGATCCAGCGGGGGGCGGGGGTTGGTGGTCAGATGGGAGACATTCTGCTTCCCCGCAGCGCTGCGGAGGATGGCAGAAGGAGCGGGAGCCGGGAGCGAATTCAACCCGTCGCCTACCTGTAGGAGGAGGTGGTCTTGCGGACGCCGGGTGGCGAGGAGGAGGGCCACCCCTGCTTGAAGCCGCTGTACTTACTGCCCACCTCCTGCCCGGCCGTCGGCAGCACGTAGACGTGGGAGCCCCCCGGGAGCCCCGCCTGGGAAGAGGGGGCCGGGGCCGGGGCGGCGACGGGGGGGGCAACGACCGGGGCAGTTCCGGGGGGCGCTCCGGGAGCCTCTACGCGCCTGGACTCGCCGATCCAGGGCAAGGCGTCCCTTTTCTGCACCGGCCATGCACGGAAATGTCTTTGTTGTTGCTTTTGTTTACTGTTTTTTAGTGTAGTATTTGTGTGATCCTGTTAGTATTTGTATACTTACAGTTTGTAGCTTTAAATGCTGTCTTTTAATGAAAATACTGTCTTGGGCTCTTTTTACGGAGAAAGGCGAAGTTAAAATATCTTAAATAAATAAAATAAAATAAGTTGGGCAGGGCCTCTCTGTGTTGGCATGTGGAACATGGTCCCTAAAGAGCTCTGCCTTGCTCCTTTATTTGCATTTTTGTGTGTGCATGTACATACTCCTGCTCTTCGATGTCGGAGTAATTGTGGATGGTGAGCGGCACGGCCAGGTCCGACTTGTCCAGCTGGTTCCAGAAGCGCGCCAGGCAGCACACGCGGCTGATGCAGGGCCAAGCCATGGCGGCGGCGGCGGCACCACCATGCAAGGAGGCAGGCAGGCAGGCAGGCAGGCAGGCAGGGGAGGGTTGCTTGCTTATGGATCGGGGGGAGGGGGGCGATGGAGCAGCAAGGAAGGAGGGGGAATTCTCTGGCCGGGAGAAGGGGAGAGGTCCGCAGCGAAAGAGGCGGCTTCCCCACTGCGCGCAGTTACTCTTCCAACTCGCCCCGTTTGCCTGCCAGTATCAGCACCTCCTTCGCACTTGCTCGCTCTCTCCCACCCCCCACCTTACACTTTGGTCAATAGTCCCTCTTTAGGAGGCTGCCTAACACGTGATGCCCCTGTGCACCATCATATCTACACACACACACAAACAAACACACACACACACACACACAGAGAGAGAGAGAGAGGCTGACAGAAGGAGCTTAATGCGGTAGCATCTGCCAGGAACGCAAAAAA